AACTGAATGTCATTTATTTATGGTTTACATCTACTTTAGGCTAACTGCAATTTTTGCGGAGAATTTTTAGACATCCCCCAGCTACTTTTTACTGCCCAACACCTATTGGGACCCCAAAAATTGAGACAGTCTCAGGTCTGTTAAGAAATCTTTCCATCTGTGTCCAATATCTGATCTCAGCAGCTATTTTTTTTGTTCATCTGAAGCAGCAAATATGCTACCGGTGTGCATAATTGTGTTTGAAATCATAAAAAGCAAATTATATTACACACTGACACAGATTTAGCACCGGGGAGATGTGAATAATGTTTCTGTGTGGATCTCTGTATCCTTGTTCTTTTCTGTTTGTGTGTGAGTGTAAACTGTTAGATGTCAGATAGTCGGGATGTATCTCCGTCTCAGATCTGCATCATACATAAACAGCCTGATTAAAACATTTTTAGCCGCGTTTCACAGATGCTTAGAGGCAGAATAGAAAGTCTTTGATGGTGTACTTCAGAGAATGCGCTTCCTGGGTTTAGCGTGTACCATTGTGTGGCACCACGTCTCTGCCCCAATTTTATCTGGGGCTGCATACTCGCTAACAAGAGGGCTCCATAAATTACATTATAATCTACAATCTATTTACACTATTCTGTACAGTAAAGGCAGAGAACTAAAAGACAAAATCCAACGAACTTTAAAATAAAAAAAAAAAAGACCAACAGACTATATACAAGAAAAATTAGAAACAATAGATTTTTAATGGTTAAAAGAAGAAAACCCTAACTATAGCAATGAAGCAGCATAGAATGCTAGGTAAATTTAGTTTTTGTCTCCTTCTGTAATCAAGGGAGCAGTGAGTGTTTGTCCTGGTCTGTTCAGGGTTTCACAGGCTGGGAGTTTGATTGCTTCCCTCATCCTCTGGAAGAGGCTTAGGGAGGGAGAAGTAAATATTCAGCCTTAATATTTATCATGTTTCAGTCAGGGGCGGACTGACAACTCATGGGGCCCCGGGGCAATAGGGGATCAAACTCAAAAAAGCTTATGAAAAAGGTACCAGGGGCATCTCATGGGGCCCTCTACTGACACCGGGCCCTCGTGCAGTGCCCGAGTTTTCAATGGTCAGTCTACCCCTGGCTTCAGTCAGCTTTGGAGAAGAGTGTCTAGAAAGGGACTAGAAAGGTGATAAATAGTCTGAAGCACTGGAGATCTGGGTTCTCTCTCCACAGGAGGGTCCGGAGCCTGAGATGCTGCTGCTCTTAGGCAGCACATGGACTATGCTGTTGTTTAGAGGCCTCAGCGGGGGGGTCAGGGCTGATGGTCTGGATGGACCTTTTTAGAAGCTGAGTGCAGGACCTCACCACAAGGCACCTGGTCTAGAGAAGGACCTTCTCATTAAATGGGTCATGTTTGGAGGAAGCTGGAAGATGGCAGCTGTCCTGGAAACCTGTGAATAAAGACCCTAAATTAATCCCTGTGACTATGTAGTGTTTTGGAGATTGGAAAGGGCACCAGCAGTTGTGCATAGGTGCAAGATAACTAAATGCCAAACAGACTTGCCTAATGGTCTTCAGTTCTGAGGTCTTAGACTGCTCAGAGATTTGGCTCATGGTCTTCAGCTGTGAGGCCTTAGACTGCTCAGAGACTTGCCTCATGGTCCCCAGTGGTGTGAACTTAGATGCTCAGAGACTTGCCTCATGGTCTTCTGTTTTGAGACTTTAGACTGTGGAGAGACTTGCCTTGTGGTCCCCAGCAGTGTGACCTTAGACTGCTCAGAAACTTGACCTATGGTCTTCAGGTGTGAGACCTTAGACTGCTCAGAAACCTTTCTCATGGTCCCCAGCTTTGTGACCTTAGACTGCTCAGAGATTTGCCACATGGTCTTCAGCTGTGAAACCTTAGACTGCTCAGAGACTTGCCTTATGGTCTTCAGCTGTGAGACCTTAGACTGCTCAGAAACCTCTCTCATGGTCCCCAGCTGTGTGATCTTAGACTGCTCAGAAACCTCTCTCATGGTCCCCAGCTGTGTGATCTTAGACTGCTCAGAAACCTCTCTCATGGTCCCCAGCTGTGTGATCTTAGACTGCTCAGAGACTTGCCTCATGCTCTTCAGCTCTGAGACCATAATCTGCTCAGAAATCTGTCTCATGGACCACAGCTGTGAGACATTAGACTGTCCAGCATCCATAAATGCTTAAGAAGAAGACTGTCCTATAATTGCTATGTACTAATCATTATATAGAATCCCATGTCCTAATCTCTCTCTGTTAAAGTTTCTTCAAGATGTAAATGTTAAATAGACATCCCCTAGACTGTTTTATTGGAGCTGCTGTGAATGGACTGGTGCTTTCCAGCATGGGCAGCCTCTGTACTTTCAGGGAAGAACCAGTTAATAAGCTGCGGTCTGCTCATCATGTGATCCTGCACATGATCCGCTTGAAAATGACTGTGAATTCCAGGAGCTGAGACATCACCAATAGGCTACTATAGCCCATCCATTGTTGGAGCTTCCTCCTCTTCCCTGCAGCAGCTGTTCACTGACCCAAGGGATCTGGAGCTGCAGGATCATGTGACTAGATGGAAGTGGACTGAAAATAGGTAAGCATACACATCTTTTATTGTATGCAGAATAGTTAGGAGGAGGGAACATTTTTAAGAACAGCACGGGTTTTAAACCCCAAGACCACTGCAATGGGCTGCACGGATGGTGAAATTGTATCACCAATAAAGGTAAGTGCAGCAGGGGCCACACACCTAGGGAGGGTATAGGGTGTGTTAGTTTACCTTTTAATTTTTTTCTGAAAAGGTGAGCCAGCCCTTTAAAATTACAGTACATGGATGAAAACAGGAACACCCTACACCTTCCCCATCCCCTGGTCAAGCAGGCTCAAACACTTCCATAGGTACTACTGGATATAATAAACCATTCCCAAATAGTATAGTCCAGGAAGTGTTGGCGATCAGAAGATAAGTTCAATTGTAGATAAACAGAATGAATCCCAATGCTAAAGGGTTTCTTCAGCCTGCTTGAATGTATCTAAAACTCTATACAATGGTTTTGGGGGATTATGTTCATGGGTCAGCCTATAATGACTATATAAAGTGCAATTGATTTTAAAGTTTTGGATACTTTGTCCCTGGGATTTGATAATGCATTTTGTAAATAAAACTTTTTCATTTTAATGTTTCTGAGAGATTTACTTTGAGAGACCACCCACCTTTGAAGTCCAGTTTTTCTTTATCTCCTGATTTGCCCAGATTCATTTCCAGGGGGCAAGCCCTTGACACCTAGGGCTCATAGGAAATGGGTTGAACGATTCAAGTCTGAAAAGTAACAAGTGTGCATGGGACATCGCTAAGAGGAGTGTTTTTGTGTTTTTTTCTCTGGTGTCTTTGGCATGATTGTGCAACATCATGGGTCCTCTTCATGCTTTTTTTTTACATCAATGGTGGCCAGATTCTGAATTCTGTAGAGACAAGCACCACATTATGATGAAATCCGTGAAATCATGGATCCCCTTCACCGTTTTCCTCCATTGGTGATGAGCACAATGTGAATGCTGTATGACATGGGCTGCTCTCTACAACATTTTCCCATGATTCAAGGGTGGATTGATGACTCACTCCCAGGGTCCAAACAGTACCAGGGGTGTTATCCAAAGAAAACCTTCACATCCCAATTAGAAACTGAATACGCACAATCCTGGACAAATCAGGAGATAAATTAAAATAGGACTCTAAAGGTAGGTGGTCTCTCAAAGAAAATCTCACAGAAACATTAAAATGAAATGACAATCTATCCCCAACTATAAAATCAATTGCATATTATATATTCATTATAGGCTGACCCCTGAACATAATCCCCAGAAAGGACCCCTTCACCCTCTTCCTCCATTGGTGGTGAGCAGATCATCAATGCAGCATGGCATGGGTTGCTCTTTACAGCATTCTCCTTGGACTCCAGGATATCCTGATGGCACACTCCCATGGGGCAGGCCCTCAACAACCTGGTCTCTTAGGAAGTGGGTTGAATAATCCTGGGCATCACTCAAGCCCAAAAAGGGGCAATTTTGCAGGAAACGGTGCTAGGAAAAGTATTTCTGATTTTTTTCCAGTTTAGCAACGTCTCGGCAATCTATTTTTTTTAAGGAAGCTGGAGTCAGAGACACATTTCAACAAAAGTTCTTCTTCAGATACACATTGAATTGAACTGAATGGCGAGAGATTTCTATATTTGTATAAACACCCTCTATAGCTCTGCCAATATAAGGACATTTGGCGAGTACACCATGTTTTATTGGTAAATAGAACATTGCTGCTTTTTCCTACATTTAATTCAACTTCGTCTTCCCCCACAGTAAGTCATTAATGAGTCATTATTCTAGTATTACGCCGCGGAACTCTAAGGATTCTGCTAAGTGATCATACCATGTGCAGGTGTCTCTAATAAGTGAGAAGGTGCCACGCAAGTTATTGTAGCTCATTTAAACATGGCTTGACGCCAGAAAGTGGCTCCCGGGTGCCATGTGGAGTTCAGTGGGGTTAAATGACCTTTACACTTTTTCCAAACACTGAGATGTGCAGTGTTTCATCAACAGAGGACAGCTGCACTTTTCTAATCCAGCTAATTGGTCAGAAAGAGCAAGGGGAGCTGCAGACGTGGTTGCTTATTAATGTCCTTCCGTTCTGCTACTCTGCCGTCTTCTGTTCTCTGTAAGTGTGAAATGTGTGCCTGTGAAAAAATGAGCATGTTTATTTGATTGTAAAATATTCCCCTGCATGTAAATCATACCTGTATGTGCAGTACTTACGGATAGGGTGGGTAAAGAGGCCCCATCAGTTGCTTGTCTCCTGTAATAGGAGAGGTTTAAGCTCAACTCTATGGTGGTTCATGTCTCCTAAGTCCCCTGCATTCCTGCTATGTAGACCCCAACAGTCTCCTTGGCATTCAACACTTCCTGGAATGTCAGATACCAATTCCCCCCTCTGGTTGCCATGTTCCTTCATTCTACCCCTACAGTCCTGTACAGGGGCAGACTGACAACTCATGGGGCCCCCGGGCAATAGGGGATCATGGGGCCCCTGTGTCCTTGCCCAAACTCAAAAAAGCCAATGCAAAGGGTACCAGGGGTATCTCATGGGGCCCCCTACTGACCCCGGGCCCTCGGGCAGTGCCCGAGTTTCCAAATGGTCAGTCCGCCCCTGGTCCTGTAGTGATGTAGCGATCAGGGGAATCTGGTACTCTCAGAATTGTTGAATGACAAACAGAGAAGAATGTAGCATTGGATTGGAGGTGTGGTAAGAGCCATGGGCCCCCAAAGTACAGTATATCACCTTTTCTATTGCAGAAGAGGGTCATCTTCATTTCTTTAGAGGCCTATTAAGGATCTCCTGAAGTTGGCATGACTTGCCTTAAGTTTGTCATAGGTAACTCGAAATTTGGCTTGTTCCGCAGGGACCACCTGAATTTTGATCCATGTATGGCCGTTCACATTCAACAGAAATTGATCTAATCGACTTTTGTTGAATAAGATGTTGAAAATTTCTCATTCGGTCAGTGGCTGCAGCACTGATCATTGTATTCTGACAGTGGAGGAGTCCCCGCTGTCAGAATACAACAACAATGCATTCTTCTGCTCCATACAACACATTTCTCAGCTCCATACAACACATTCCTCAGCTCAATACAACACATTCCTCAGCTCAATACAACAAATTCGTCAGCTCCATAGAACACATTCCTCAGCTCTTTACACCAAATACCTCAGCTCCATACAACACATTCCTCAGCTCCATAGAATACATTCCTCAGCTCCACACAACAAATTCCTCGGCTTCATACAACACATTCCTCAGCTCCATACAACAAATTCCTCAGCTCCATACAACACATTCCTCAGCTCTTTACACCAAATACCTCAGCTCCATACAACACATTCCTCAGCTCCATACAACACATTCCTCAGCTCCATACAACAAATTCCTCGGCTTCATACAGCATATTCCTCAGCTCCATACAACACATTCCTCAACTCTATACATCAAATACCTCAGCTCCATAAACACATTCCTCAGCTCCATACAACACATTCCTCAGCTCCATACAACAAATTCCTCAGCTCCATACAACAAATTCCTCAGCTCCATGCAACAAATTCCTCGGCTTCATACAACAAATTCCTCAGCTCCATACAACAAATTCCTCAGCTCCATACAACAAATTCCTCAGCTCCGTACAACACATTCCTCAACTACGTACAACAAATTCCTCAGCTCCGTACAACACATTCCTCAGCTCCATACAACATATTCCTCTGCTCCATACAACACATTCCTCAGCTCCATACAACACATTCCCCAGCTCCATACAACACATTCCTCAGCTCCATACAACACATTCTCCAGCTCCATACAACACATTCCTCAGCTCTATACAACAAATTTCTCAGCTCCATACAACACATTCCTCAGCTCCATATAACAGATTGCTCGGCTCCATACAACAAAGTCCGCAGCTCCATACAACAAATTCCCCTGCTCCATACAACACATTCCTCAGCTCTATACAACATATTCCTCAGCTCTATACAACACATACCTTGTCTCCATACAACAAAGTCTTTAGCTCCATACAACACATTCCTCAGCTCCATACAACAAATTCTTCAGCTCCATACAACACATTCCTCAGCTCCATAGCTCCACTTACAGAGCACAGTTCAGTACCAGTAGACAGAGTGTCCAGCCCACTCTCCCATACTCCTCCTTGTAGGTACAAACATACATAGCATATATCAGGGGTAGCCTGTTCCAATCACTCCTATGCCTAGGACTGTTCCCACACTACACACCACCCACTAGCCACAGCCAAAGGAGGGACCTTACTGAAAAGGCTACTAACCCCTGCTTACATGCTGATAGGAGGAGAGAGCAGAGTAACAGAGAGATTAGCTCCTCATTTTTCTGCTTCTCCTTTAACAGTCCTCCAGGCTAGGGGTTGGAGTAGACTGGAAAGTGTTAAACTAGGTACACACACGGACTGTAAATCATCCAAAAACAGGCACTTCAGCAGGAAACGGACAATTTTCAGTCCGTATGTACAGCTCCCTGTCCGACAGAAGCCTGTCTCACAAATGGCTTCTGTTGAATGAGCATGCTGGAAAACCAGAATCTGATCAGCACTCACAGCCAATGGATGTGAGTGCTGATCACCGTGTTCTGGTGGGGGAGGGAGCAGTTGAACAGGCATGCTGGAAAACCAGAATCCAATCAGCGCTCACAGCCAATGGCTGTGAGCTCTAAACAGTGTGTTCTGGTGGGGAGGGGCAGTCAAACAGGAATGCTGGAAATCCGGAATCTGATCAATACTCGCAGCCAATGGCTGTGAGCTCTGATTAGTGTGTTCTGGTGGGGGGGGGGCAGTCGAACAGGAATGCTGGAAATCCGGAATCTGATCAGCGCTCGCAGCCAATGGCTGTGAGCTCTGATCAGCATGTTCTGGTGGGAGGGCAAACTGGCATGCTGGAAAACCAGAATCTGATCAGCGCTTACAGCCATTGACTGCGAGCGCTGATCAGCATGTTCTGGTGGGGCATTGTCCCTCAACCCTTGTGTTAGTATGGCGATCTGTAAGGTATTTTTTTTTTCATTCAGCCCACTTCTAGTGTGTACTCAGCATTACTCTACTGCAGCTGAAGAGTTTCAGGTCTCCTGTCCTGCCAGTTAGGGCTATGCTCTGTGGCAGAGCTGTGTATATCTCAGGAGCGGAAGGACAGAATTTCAAATCCTTTGGCGGTTAAATCAGCTGATCTCCGTGCATTTAGGAATTCTGCTTTATGTGGAGTTCTTGCTTTTTTTTCTGCTTTGCTATAGACAAAGGCGCATCCATTCCTCGATGTCAAGTCAGCTCCCAAAAAACACTTGGATAGTTTGAGCTTTCTTCTTTATAGACGCACTAGACCTATAGGCACCACAGACTTGAGTGGTACATTCCCCCTAATATATATTAGTGGCGACTCCTGCTGAGGTCTGCCATAGACATGGTTTTGTCAGGAGCTGTCTACAGTCATGCAGTTCCTTCTGGTTCCTTTGTTACCTAATTGTTCTATCTAGAATATATCTCTCACTACCAATCCACCCCCACAGCCTAGTGAGTTTTTAATTGCTGATGATCCTTTGCACTTTAAAGTCAGTGTTTCCTGGGCCAAAGAGCTTACAGTCCGGCATGATTGCCTCCTTGTCATCTTATTACATAAACAATAGCAGTCTTCCATCTGGCTGGTGTTAGAACTATCCCTTAGGAGACGGGGTGTTTGAACTCGGGAGGTATCTACGCAACAATGAGGGAAAAAAAAAAGTTTCTGCATCCAAGGCTCGATGTGTCAATGACTGTCAGGAATACCATCTGTCTTACAAGTAGGTGATTGTCAGTGTTGAAGCAGTTCTGTGCTCTAGTGACATTTATATATATACAGTGTACTGCATATACTATATATATATATATATATATATATATATATATATGTGTGTGTGTGTGTGTATGTATTCATCAACAAATATTTATGAAATAACACCATGAAAATATATTACTGAAATCAAGTTGAGTCACAATCACCGTTAGCGAAGATAGAACTGTTACCTCCTATCAAAAAATAAATTGCAGCACTTTGAGTGATTTTAACCTCTTCCATACCGGGCACTTTTACCCCCTTCCTGCCCAGGCCAATTTTCAGGTTTCAGTGCTCTCACACTTTGAATGACAATTGCGCGGTCATACAACATTGTACCCAAACTAACATTTTATCATTTTCTTCACACAACTAGAGCTTTCTTTTGGTGGTATTTAATCACCACTGGGGTTTTTTTTTTTTTGCTAAATTAACAAAAAAAGACAGAAAATGTTGAAAAAAACCCACGTTTTTCTTTGTTTCTGTTATAAATGTTTGCAAATAAATAATTGTTCTTCATAAATTTAGGCCGAGATGTATTCTGCTACATGTCTTTGGTGAAAATAACCCAAATTAGGATGTATTTTTTAGTTTGTAGGAAAGTTATAGAGTTCACAAACTATGGTATAGATCTGAAAATTGATCAATCCTGAAGTACTGACAGCCAATCTAATTTCTTGAGGTCCAAGAATGTCAGAACAGTACAGATATCCCCAAATGTCAGAACAGTACAGATATCCCCCAAATGACCCCTTTTTGCAGAGTAGACAGTCCGACGTACTTCATAAGAGGCATGGCAAATTTTTTGAAGTTGTATTTTTTTTTTTTTTTTTTTTTTTTTTTTTTTTTTTTTTTTGTCATAATTTTTCGGAAAATGAAAAAAATGAAAAAATGATTTTCACAATTTTGTTTTACATACTGTCACCAGTGCAGTACAGCGTCATTATATAACTGGCATGGCGGTGATCAGGGACACTGACTGGTGACAGTATGAAAAAAAATATAATTTTTATTTTTATTTTTAATTTTTTTATTATTATTATTATTATTTTTAATTTGTTATTACTTTTTTTTTAAGATTTTTTTTTAGATTTCACTATGACCAAAGTAGTACAATGTTACTATAGTAATTTCCTTGTGCATGTGATCGCTGTGACCATTCACAGCTAGACACACTAGTATACAATGGATGGCATGAATGAAGCCATCCATTGTATACAACTGTCATGTGACCTGCTGTGATTGGCCACAGCAGGTCACATGGTACCGGCAACGGGGCCGGTACTCAGATCTGTCATCGGCCGTGTCCAAGGTACACGGCTGGTGACAGATCGCACCGCTGCGAGGCTCTGCAGGCACGCAGACTGCACATGCCCGAAAGGACGCCAAATGGCATCCACCCGGAAAGGTGAGTGTTTTTTTGCCGGCCGCCATTTGGCCATAGGCCAGGCGGAAAGAGGTTAAATCCTCCAGTTTTTTAAAGGGTAACTCCATTTTCGTAGGACAAAAAAAGCAAATAAAAAAATGAACATAGGGTATACAATTGCAACTGAAAGTTATTAAAAATAAATTTACCTTTTCAACCTGCAGCGCTGTAATTTTGCGTAAAATGTAATGCATTGTATAAACCTGGATTTGTTGTGTACACAGGTGGTGTACAGTACGCCCCCCAGAAGTGTCATTTCTTGCTTCTGTGATTGGCTCACTGAGTTTCCCGGAAGTGACATCACCTGTTGCTAATGATGAGGCTGATGCTGATAAC